AGAAGTGGTCAGGCCATGAGGGATCTGCCCTCATGAATGGGTTCATGTTGGGACCACAGGGTGGGGCTCGTGGTGAAAGAGCCCGTCTGGTCGTCCCTCTCTCTTCTCTGCCTCTGTCTCTCTCCCTGTTGTTCTTGCTCTTCCTTATTCATCTGCCATGGAATTGTTCATCAAGAAGACCCTTGATAGATGCTGGCCTCTCAGTCTTAAACTCCCAGACTCCAGATAAGAGCCAACACATTTCTTTATTTCTTTTCTTTTCTTTCTTTTTTCTTTTTATTTTTTGGAGAGGTTTTTGCTATAGGGCATGTGCACTCGCCAGAAAGACAGAGACAGACAGAGAGATAGAAAGCAAGAAATCACCCCCCCAGGGGCGATGGCCACGCCACAATCCCTTCTCCTTCATTCGCCTCTCGGAATCTTGGTCACGCATGCACATGTGCCCAGTGTGAGTTTAAACCACCAGGTCTAGGACTTGAACCATGGTCAACCACATGGGAGTCCAGTGACACAGCCATTACACCAACCACTGATCCCAAGAGCCAATACATTCACTATAAATTACCCCCTCTATGGTATGTGGTTATAATAGCACAAAATGGACTCAGACCTGTAAGAGGCCGCCTGCCGTGTGCGACATTCAGTGACTCGGTGGAGGTAAGGAAGCACGTGAGAGGAAAGGGGACCACAGCCCACAGGGCTCCTGGGAGACTTTGCTGTTGCCACACGACCACCCTCTGTTTCCTCTTACTCCTGGGAAGTTGATCTAGAGCTGCCCCTCCCACACCCCAATCCTTCAGGCTGACTGTTTTCCGCCTTGCTGCAAGGTTGAGGCAAAGCTGTCCCATTATCTGTTGGCTCAAATCCTAGTGGCAGCAGGTGGAATTGGATTTCTTTTCCTCTGTTTTATTTAAATATTATCTTTAGTACCTGAAATATTTTGATCCTTTTTTTTAATTTTAAAAAATAATTACTTAATTTTGTTATTCTTATTATTTATTTATTTAGTTAGTTTTAATTGGACCAGAGAGAGACAGAGACAATGAAAGGAAGTGAGAAAGCAAGCCACCAGGTCTAGGACTTGAACCACAGTCGACCACGTGGGAGTCAAGTACCTTTAACTACCACACCACCTGCTGGCCCCTTATTTGTTTCTTCTTTTTTTTTTAAGAATTATTTTATTTTGTTTATTATTATTATTTTTTAAATTTGCTATAGGGTACATATACTTTTCAGAGAGAGATGGGGTTAGGGTGAGTGAGAAAGCAAGCTGCCAAGTCTGGGACTTGAACCATGGTTGGCCATGTGCGAGTCCAGTGCCCTAACCACCATACTACCTAGTGGTCCCCCTTTTATTTGTTTTTCAGTAGTCATTTAGGAAAATTAGAAGAGGCAGCAGGATTCCAGACAAAATGCTTTAGAGGTTTCAGGTAGCAATTTCAAGCATTCGGTTTATTAATTTAATAATAAGCCATAAGAAAAGAAGGTTAATGGGTCTTAGAAGAAATAATCCTGGCAGTGTTATTGACCTACCTTGAGCATATCTGTCTGTCTCTATTTCCCTGCCTATAAATCCAGAGTACATTATCCATACTAACAAGATGTTCTGAAGGGAGCTAATAATATTTGAATGTAAACTGAAATCCTGCACAGTAGAAATGAAAATGTTTTGCACTGTTGAGCAGAACTTTGCCTTGAAGCTTTAAATACTTGCCCGACAGTAAGTGCCCACCATGTGCCCCAAGCTGTGCCATAGTCTTCATTTCCTTTTCGTGCGGAATCTTGACAGTGGCCTCAAATGGTAGATATTATCTTCGTTTTGCGAAAGAGGAGTGTGAGACTCAGAGATGTTGTTTACTGAGTCCAAGACCAGAACAGCTCTGAACGGAGATCCTGCCTGCCTCTGCTCTGACCTTGCCGTTGCATCGGGTGTATGGAAGTAACTCATCCCTCACTCAGATGGTCATCACGGTGACTTTTACTGAAGTCAGTGGCCGCTTTCTAGAAATCGGAGGAGCAGAACGTAAAGGAATCGCCCTCTTGTATGTCTCTGTTCTGTAAGAGAAAGCGTGATAGGAAAGGTGTTATATAGTGTCAAAGATGGAATTGCATAGTATTTACATCTTTTATATTTTAAAAGATGTAAATATATATCCACATGATAGAATGCAATGCAGTCGTTTAAAAAGAAAAAGGAAAAAAATTAACAAAGGGAGGGAAGAAGGAAGGAAAAAACCTTAGTTTAAGATGAAAAATTGGGGGGCCAACAGATGGCGTAGCAGTTATGTTGCTGGACTCCCCCATGGCCACCCGCAGGTCAAGTCCCAGACCTGATGGCTTGAAAATCACACTGGGAATGTGTGCATGCATGCCCAAGATCCCAGGAGGGAAATGGAGACGGGATTACGGCATGGCCATCCCTCCTGGGGTGGGGAGGGGATGATTTCTCACTTTCCCTCTTACTGTCTCTCTCTCTCTCCAGCAAGCACATATGCCCTAAGGCAAAAGTCTCTCTCAAAAAAAAAACCATGAAAAATTGGGGGCCAGCAGGTGGTGTAGTGGTTTAAATACTGGACTCCCACATGGCCAACTGTGGTTCAAGTCCTGAACCCGGCAGCTTGAAGCTCATGCCTGGCACATATGCATGTATCCCCAAAATCCCAAGAGGAGAATGGAGGAGAAGGGATTGTGATGCGTCCTTCTCTCCTGGTGGGAGGGTAACTTCTCACTGTCTCTCTGACTTCAGCTAGCACACGTACCTATTGCAAAAATCTCTCTTGGGGGAAAAAAAAAACATGAAAAATTTGCCAAGATATTGTTTTAGATTTTAGAAAGCAAGTTACAGGAGCCACCAGGTAGCGTGATGGTTAAGGTGGTGTGTTCCCACATGGCCAGCCATGGTTTGAGTCCCACTCCTGGCAGCTTGACAATCACACTGGGCCCATGTGTGTGCATGCCCAGAATCCCATAGCAGAGTGGAAGAGAAAGGATTGCAGCATGGTCATCCCCTCTGGAGGGTGATTTCTCACTTTCCTCTTTCTGTCTCTCTCCAGCAAGCATGTATACCCTATGGCAAAATTAAAAAAAAAAAAAAGTTACAGTGCTTATCCAAAGCCTAGTGATTAACAGAGCTGGACCCCACATGGCCAACTGCAGTTCAAATCCCGGCCCCATGGCTTGAGAAACATACCAAGGACATGTGCATCAGAGTCCAAAATCCTGACAGGATGGTGAAACGGAGAAGGGATTGTGGTGTGGCCACACCCTCATCAGGGAGTGCTTTCTCTCTGTCCGTCTCTGCCTGTCTCTGTGTCTCTCTCTCTGGTGAATGCACATACCCACTGGCAGTTTTTTGAAAAGAGCAAGTTACAGAACTAGGGTGCCATTTATGTGCTAACTTCAACAGCCACAAAGCGATTCTATTATTATTTCTTTTTACGAGAGGGCCTCTCTGCATTGCCTCAGGCTGAGCTCCAACTGGCCATCCTCTGGCCTCAGCCTCCTGCGTAGCTGGGATCAGAGGCCCACGCCACCGTGTCAAGTTATTTTTCAAAAATACTGAAGTGCATAGAAAGCAGCCTGCGAAGCTAACCCTGAAAATCCATTGCAATGGTTCCCTCTGATGAGAGGGCCAGGTATCGGCCCCCCTGGGAGTCAGGGGGACTTCAATGTTTCACGTTTGACGTTTTTGCAAAGAACTCATGTTCATGGATTACTTGTGTCATTGGAAGTTTTTAAATTAAAAAGCAAAATACGGAACACAGTCAGCCCTCCTCACGAGGAGCCTCCGCCAGAAGTCGTGGTTACTCATCTGAGCAGTAAAGTGAAAGAATGAACTAAAAATACCACGTCACCAAGAGGACATTTTCCGGCAGAGATTTGTGGATCAGTGGGGGCTTTGATGTCTGGCCGTCGTCGGACAGGGTGCTTACTCAGGGGTCAGGTATGGGCACCCTGAGCAGAGTCCGGGGGTGAGCCACCTGGGGACAGGGAGATGAATGAGCAGTTCTTGTTCCCTGCAGGCACCTCTGACCCTTCCCACGTCAACTTATGCTGGGTAATCCTCAGGACTAGATGATCGGGGGACGGGGAGGAAAAGGCACTCAAGTTAGGTGATCCACAGAAAGGTAAAGAAGAAACTCATCTTTGGAGATAAAAACCTTGGCTTCTAGGCATCTGCTGGGGTCGTTTGACGTGCAGGATGGTGAACGTACCAGTTGGGCACCAGCGTAATGAGACTGGACTGAACTCCATTGCTCGCTGGGCCAGGTCGTTTCATTCCTAGGAGAAAAGGCATGAGAATGCTTGGCTAGTTCTCTAGCTCTTGCCAACTATATGACTGATGCAAAATTAGCAGGTCCCCAGGAGGAAGCTCCAGGTTAGATCGGCTGTGGTGTAATTTTTCTTTCTAATCTGCATTAAACACATATATGACTATCAACATAATGTTAATTAGCCACGTACATCTTAAACATCTCCTATTTAGGGGGTCAGCAGGTGAGGTCATCTTAAACATCTCATATTTAAGGGGCCAGTCCAGTAGTGGTTGGGGTACTGGACTGCCACACGGTTGAAAATGGTTCGAGTCCTCCACACGGTTGAAAATGGTTCGAGTCCTGGACCCAACAGCTTGAAATTCATGGTAGGTATGTGTGCATGCACACCCAAAATCTTGAGGGAAGAATGAAGGAGAGAGGGTTGTGACGTGGCCACCCTCCCCCCAAGGGGTGATTTCTTACTTTCTGTCTCTATGTCTCTGTCTCTTTGGTGAGCGCCTGTGCGTGAGCCACCTGGGGACAGGGAGATGAATGAGCAGTTCTTGTTCCCTGCAGGCACCTCTGACCCTTCCCACGTCAACTTATGCTGGGTAATCCTCAGGACTAGATGATCGGGGGACGGGGAGGAAAAGGCACTCAAGTTAGGTGATCCACAGAAAGGTAAAGAAGAAACTCATCTTTGGAGATAAAAACCTTGGCTTCTAGGCATCTGCTGGGGTCGTTTGACGTGCAGGATGGTGAACGTACCAGTTGGGCACCAGCGTAATGAGACTGGACTGAACTCCATTGCTCGCTGGGCCAGGTCGTTTCATTCCTAGGAGAAAAGGCATGAGAATGCTTGGCTAGTTCTCTAGCTCTTGCCAACTATATGACTGATGCAAAATTAGCAGGTCCCCAGGAGGAAGCTCCAGGTTAGATCGGCTGTGGTGTAATTTTTCTTTCTAATCTGCATTAAACACATATATGACTATCAACATAATGTTAATTAGCCACGTACATCTTAAACATCTCCTATTTAGGGGGTCAGCAGGTGAGGTCATCTTAAACATCTCATATTTAAGGGGCCAGTCCAGTAGTGGTTGGGGTACTGGACTGCCACACGGTTGAAAATGGTTCGAGTCCTCCACACGGTTGAAAATGGTTCGAGTCCTGGACCCAACAGCTTGAAATTCATGGTAGGTATGTGTGCATGCACACCCAAAATCTTGAGGGAAGAATGAAGGAGAGAGGGTTGTGACGTGGCCACCCTCCCCCCAAGGGGTGATTTCTTACTTTCTGTCTCTATGTCTCTGTCTCTTTGGTGAGCGCCTGTGCCCTATAGCAAAAATCTCTAAAAAAAAATCATCGTTAACAAGTGGTGCCTCGAGAAACACTATCAGATGAGCTGGGGTGTTGGGGGAGAATTAAGTTCAGATCTTGCCCCACAACTACCTTGGTAACCTGAGAACTGGACCTTCTTAGTCTCGATCTCCTCAAGTCAAAGTGGGCCTCCTAGCAGTGCCTCCTTCAGGGCAGCTGGGAAAGATCCCCGATCGAACACACAGTGAACATGTAGGGCCTACACAATGTTAGCAGAAGAAAAAGATGTTGTGCAAGTAACACAACAAATGCCAAAAATCTCGATTAAATGTAATCTCTGCAAAAAAATGCTGCCATACTTCAGTGATAGGAGAGTGTTCAACTTCTTGTTTTGGAAAATTCATGTTTGCATAAGGCTCCTCTCCCTGCCCCGAAACCATTCCCTTTTGGTTCTTTTTTATTAACACTTTGAAGGTAATTCATGGAATTTCCTATTTCAAATCAGTCTGATGGCTGAAAAAGGCAAAGCACAGAAGTGGTTACATAGCTACTCTGAAATGCATAGAGTCAGACCCAGGAATTTTTCTAATTAAATGGTCTTTGCCAGGGTGCAGTCTCTAAGTCTGAAACTGTGTAACAAAGCCTTAGGTCTCATCAGATCCTGGGTGCTTATGTTTAAATTTTGTATCCAATACTTCTGCTCTGGGTCTTGTGCCTGCCAATTAACTCTGAGTAGGAAAGTGAAGTTTTCTCAGCTACTCTGAGTGTGACTGACTGCCTGCCTTGAAGAAGAAAGTGGTGTGAGCTGTGCGGAGTTGATGGCCCCTAACTGGGTAAGCTGCGTCTCGATGGAGGCCCTCAAAGATCTTGCGTCACATGGACAAACAGCCTTGGAAAGTGGCTAAAACAGAGATTCGGTTGGGGAAGCCCACCAGACAGGAAGCTGCCAAGTTCTCTTGCCACCTCTTTAGAACTTCTGCCTGATTGCTGGTGGCATTGTCTAGAACTTTTCCTGCCATTGCTACTTTAGGCCAAGATTCAAGCCAAGGTTAAAAGACATCTCTGTTTTTTTGTTTTGAGAGAGAGAGATTTTTTGCTATAGGACATGTGCGCTTGCCAGAGAGACAGAAAGCGAGAAATCATCCCCAGGGAGGATGGCCATGCCGCAATCCCTTCTTCTCCATTCCCCTCTCGGGATCTTGGGCACGCACGCACAAGTGTCCGGTGTGAGCTTGAAGCTGCTGGGTCTGGGACTCAAACTGCGGTTGGCCACGTGGGAGTCCAACACCTTAACCACGATGCCTCCTCCTGGTCCTGCCATATCTCACTCTTGCATTCAGACGTTGCTGTGGGCATATCTAAGAATCTTAATGATTTGAATAATCTTAATGATTTCAGTAAAGTTGGCCAGCCTGTGGCCTGGTGGTTAAGGAGTTAGATCCCACATGGCCCACCTTATGGTTTGAATCCCAGCCCTGATGGCTTAAAAAACATGCCGGGCACATGCACACACATGCCCAGAATCTGAAAAGAGGGAGAAATGGAGGAGGGAGAATTGCAGTGTGACCAGTCCTCATGGGGTAAGGGGCGCAAGCTTGCTCTCTCTCTCAATCTTTCTCTCTTTCTCTGTCTCTGTCTCTCTGTCTCCCTCTGACAAGCATACATGCCCCCTAGCAAATTAAGAAAAAAAGAAGCGCATTTAAGAAAGCAGCATCCTAGACATTTTTATCTAAAAAAGGAAAACACTTTCGTCTTTATCTGAAAAATAAGTGAAAATTGTATGTGTGTATTTATATAGATAGATTTTCTTTTTTTTGCTTTTATTTTATGCTGACCTTATTCCTACGCCACACATTTCTGTTGATTCAGTTTCTTCTGGGCTATCTTTGCTTTGCAACCTCCTCTTCTGGTTTAGGAGTAATTTGCTCCTTTCAGTGCGGATCGTCTCGATGTGGCGGGGGAGCTCGCGTGTGGGTTGTTCTGGCCATGCGCATGGTAGTACCTCGTGCATCTTGGTGCCTTGTTTACTTGAATATTCACAGAGACCACAGAATGTGTTGGGTCTTCGGATAAGTCATGTGGATTTTCACATAGAAACACAGAAAAATATGTCGTGAGTTTTCCCACAACCCAGTACATTGAAACCCCTAAGTTCAGCATTACTTTCTGCATTTTTAAGCATGCACAACAAAAATTCAGCACACTTTTGGGGCCACCAACCGTGTGTCCAGCCCCACTCTGTGGCCTGGGCACACCTACCAGCCCTGCCGTTGTAACGAAGGAATGGTTCACTCCACATCTGTGAAGTGACATCTCGGATACTTGGTGGCTTTTTGCGTATGCACACTCTGGAGAGACGGGGCAGTTTCACAGGTGCTCTTAACGTGAACACGAACAGGGACCAGCAGATGGCAGAATGGTTACGTTGCTGGACTCCCATGTAGTTGACCGAGGTTCAAGTTCTGCACCCGGTGACTTGAAACACACCAGGTGTGTGTGCGTGCGTGCCTGAAATCCCAAGAGAAGAATGGAAGAGAGGGGATCATGGAGTGGCCATCCTCTCTGAGAGGTTATTTTTCACTTTCTCTCTTTCTCTGTCTCTCCGGCAAGCGCACTTGCCCTGCAGCAAAAATCACTCTCAAAAAGAAAAAGCCAACACGAAGATTTGAATCTTTTGATTTGCATGACTTTGTGGGGTTCTCTGGATCAATTGACTACTGAACTATTTTCAAAGATCATCTTTAGGCCACTTACAAGAAGCGTGAAAAAAAAATTTTTAATTGTTAAAAAATTTTTCAATTGTTAAAAAAAATTTAGAATTATTTTATTTAACTTTATTTATTGTATTTAATCTGATGAGAGGGACAAAGTGAGTGAGTAAGAGAGAGAGAGAGCAAGCAAGCAAGCGAAAGCAAGCCACCAGGTCCTGGCCACGTGGGAGTCCAATGCCCTTAACCACCACGCCACTTACTGGCTCCCTATTTTTAAAAATTTTTTAAATAAATAGCATTAATTTTATGATATGTCACAAGGTAAATTTCCAAATGCCTTCTTGGCTGCTGGTCCAGCCATTCAGGAATGTCTTCTCAGTTTTAAAATGAGGTGCATTACGAGGTCGCTGGAAGCATGAGTCAGGCCAGAACGGGCCCCCATCCTGGCGTCTCACACACACTTTTATTGGCTGTTTACGATGTTCATTCACAGCGCTGTGCTGAGCCCCTCAGCAAACACACTTCTCATCTCCCATGAGACACGAGACGGATAGACCGTGAACTGTGGCCCAGGGAGCGTGTGTTGTAACAGAGGTACTTTTAAAAGCAGATGTCCGATGGGAGCCTCAGCCTTCCCATCTGTGAAATGTGGGGCCAGAATGCCATCTCTGTCCTGCCCGGCTTTGGGACTCTGGGAGGCTGCAGCCGTGCAGACAACCCTCAGAACGTTTGTAAATACACCGTCAGACACAGTAAATATTTATGTCCCCTAAATCAGGGTGTTTTTTTCCTGTTGTTGACCATTGTTGGCTGACTCTCCCAGATACCGCCTGGGTTTTCTACTGAGGATGGCAGGGATCTGGGATGGTCTTACACACTAACCTCTTTGCCTCAAAGTCCTAAAAATATCCACCTACGAACAAGGTGGACTGCCAGAGCTGCCTGCTCATCCCCCATTTCCTGTGAGCGGTTTGAAGGAAAAGGCAGAGGATGACACGCTGCCAGATGAGATAATGCCTGGGGTCTGGTGGTTGAAGTCATCCCCAAGAAGCTTCCTGTCAGATGAAACGCTTCCGGCCGGAGAGCACCAGGCCGGACCACTCTCTTTCCCAGATTTTACAGACGGTGGAGCAGGCTCGCTTTCTCATGGCTGGTCATGAGAGGACTGGTCATTCCCGTTCTCAGTGGGGGTGATGGGATGATCCTTTATCCTGACTTGTCAGGTTCTAAAGGAAGGGAACCCTCTAGAGTCAAAGGATCCTGCCATGGGGCTGGCCCAATGGCCTCATGGGTAAGACAGCTGGATCCCACATGACTGACTATATGGTTCAAATCCTGGACCCAACAGTTTAAAAAAACACACCAGGTGCACATGGGTGGCCATGCCCCATTTGGTGGGGCGGGGGAGGCACCCTCTTCCTCCCTCTCTTTGTCTTTCTCTCTCTAGTGAGAGCACAAGCTTTCTGACAGTTGTTTAAGGGGTCTTACCATGGTGCTGTTGATACAAGCAAACCCAGTCAGTGCAAACTTAGCTGCCAGACCCCGTGAGATTTGGGGAGAGGGTGCAAAATGTAGAAGATCTGATGAGATAACCAAGACCTCATTCTTCTTTTTTTTTCCCTATATTTTTAATAATAATCTTTCATTTTAGAAGAATTTTAGGTTTACCAAAAAAATTGCAAAGATAGTGCAGATTTCCCGTAAACGTCTCGCTTCGCTCCCCTGATGTTAACATCTTACATAACCACAGTGTCCTTGTCGAAATGATGAAAGTAACGCTGTGCAGCACTGCCAAGGAAACCACAGGCTCTACAGACTCTCCTTAGATGCCCCTCCTTCTTATTCTTTAAGACGAAAATGTTAGGGCTGGCCCCATTGCCTGTCAGGGACCAGATCCCATATGGCCAACCACGTGGTTTGGATCCCTGTCCAGTACTTTAAAAACATGCTGGGCACGTGGGTGTATCCGAACTCTCAACTGGATGGAGAAATGAAGGAGAAGGGCTTGTAACTGACCACGCTCCATCGGGGGACACTTTCTCCCTCTCTCTCTTTCTCTGGGAAGTACACACACACCCCCTGACAAATAAAAAAAAATTTAGAAGTAGCTAAATATGTATATGCATACATACACACACACAGACAGACACCACCGCTACATATATTCTGACTTTTGAAATATATAAAAATACAAAATGTATGCAAGTGCATACATTTATCTAGTTATGTGCATAGAAATTATGGTTGTGTGTGTGTGTGTGTGTGTGTGTGAAGTGTATTTATTTCTTCCATAAAAGAGAACTAGAGAGAGACCACTCCCAACAGGGTCTTCTTTTTTCTTAAAGAATTGTTTTATTTAACCTTATTTATTTTTAAAATTTGACCAGAGAGAGACAGAGTAAGAGAGAGAGAGGAAGTGAGAAAGCGAGCCACCAGGTCTGGGACTTGAACTGTGGTTGGCCATGTGGGAGTCCAGCGCCTTTAACTAC